TCCATACTGTTTTCCAGAGTGGCTGCACCAGCTTGCATTCCCACCAACAGTGTAGGAGGGTTCCCCTTTCTCCACATCCTCACCAACATCTGTTGTTTCCTGACTTGTTAATTTTCTCCCATTCTGTTGACTATCTTTTAGTTTTGTTGACTGTTACCAGTTTGGGTTCTAATTGACATGCTCTGATTTCTGAAAGTATATATGAGGCTGTGAAAGCTCTTCTTTTATAGATAAAGAGGCAATAAGCAGTGTGAACTTTCTTATTAAGATCCAGTATTACTATAGGAAAGAACAATGAGGGCAATGCATGTGTAAATGTGTGATTAGGCAAAGGATTGTTTTCACATGTTTTCAAGCTTCTTCTATGTCAAGAAGCTATTGTCAGAAACACTATTTCACGCATAGATGTATTTCTCTTTATAGTAGAAAGCCAGTCCAGATATTCACAGAGTTGAGTTCGGCAAGAACATGTAAAATTCGTAGCAAGGCAGTGACATTTATATAACCTTTTCATTTTCTTTTGATAATACTTTCTGATTTCAAATCATTACCTTTAGAAATATATAAGCTCAAATATGAAGAAAGGAGTAATGGAAGAAAGAAATGTGTTATGTGTGATTATATACAACTTATATTCAGGAATATAAGCAATTGAGAATAATTGCCACCATGTGTATTATATCCACTCATGATGAATGTTATTTGTAAAAAGTGTTATGTTAGTCTTTTGTATAATTTCCCATTGAGTGAAAAAGGCAGATAAATGGTAGAACCATTTCTCAAACTGTAATGAAATGACAGGCTTTAGAGTTTAAAGGGTAAAAAGGAATGCTTGCTATCTGGAACTATTGACTTTATGTTACTCAACAGGGACTGTTTGTATCTTCTGGAAAATGTAGTTTTTACATTACAAAAAATATCATTTGGAAGCTTATTGTTCTTATGAGATGGGCTCATTTGAATCCAGAAAGGTATTTTGGAAAGCAGAAAAAGGACAATTGGGGAATATGCTGAAAATATCTAGAACTTCCTAAGGGGCATTTATGTTTCTGTATGTCTCAGAAACTGTCAGCATTGCTGAGCATGGGACCTGCCTGCTGTAGTATGGGCAAACAGGAAAAACCAAAAACACAAAACAATAAATTGCTTTCCAGTGGAAAAGGAAAGGAAGTAAACTGGAGACTAGAGCTGGACTTCAAAAACAATTCTAGCCCTGGGCAACTTTCAGATCACCCAAAAATGGATAAAATGGATTGTATTGGAAGTCAGGAATCTGGCACTTGTATGGTGTTGAACGTTTTTTGAGTGAATAACTATTTTAGTTATTACTGATGGTTTCTGATACTCTTATAATCAAAATCATGGATTTCTTTGCTATCATCTAGAATTGTTGGGATTCTATTTTTCATTGCCTTGAGTAACAGAAAAGTTTGTAAAGAGAGTAGTTGGTGTACGGGGATAGTGGAGGCATCCATGTATGGACATCTACACTTAGACTTACATCCTTTGCTATAATATACATAGAAACACACAAACACACACATGTATTTATGAAAAACTCTAAAGAGCTTATATTGAGTTCTGTTTAATTCTCTAGAACTTCCTTAATAATCTAGCTGAGGAAATTGTTGTAATTCTTTCTAGAAGGACCTCCATGTATCTGTGAATTTGCCGAAGATGTTGCCGAACATCTTCGGCATAAAGATGGGCATCTTTTATGAGGAGACTCACATTTTCTACATCAGGGCTTCTATTACAGAATCTTATTCTTCTCTTATGCAGCTTCTCAAAATGCCATCGTTAAGTACTGAGTCTCTATGAATTGAATTCTGACAACTTTGCTTCCTTTCAATATGCCCTATAAAATACTACCTACCTACTTTATGGTTTGGTTTCTGCTTCAGCTCTGTCCTGAAAAAAGTATTACTATGTACCATATTGTTTTATGTTTATTACGTGTCTCTACATCCAGAGACTTGTAGTTACAGTGCTTAGCAACTTTCCTGTCACTTTGCAGTCCTTGAAAAAAATATGTGTTAAATAATTAGAAGAATCAGTGAATGACTAAAGGAATGAATGCATTTTAAAAGGAAGCCACTTATTTTTCTTCTTTTCTACTGAATTCTCCATGGATGTCTGGTCTATCCCAGGGAATTTCACAAGAATTGCAGCAAATTGGGAGCCTTTGTCCCACTTCTCTGATCTAACCCCTGATTAAGGACTCACTGATAAGAAAGAGGTGAAAAATGCTCTCCATATATCCACGATGTCATTCCTCTGTGTTTGCCATCCAAAAAGAAGGTCCCATTGGCTTACCCCATGTTCTTAGGGTATGATAATTACACCATAATTATAGGCCCACACAGTAATACAATCTTACCTTCCAGGACTAATATAAAATCAAACAGACACGATTTAGGTAGACAGTAACATTCTGTAATAGAGCAGCATAATACAAGAGCCCATAAACTTAAGATAACTTTTACACATGTTGATTTTTATTTTTCTCATGACAATGGGATGTATAAATAACTATGTATGTGAATTACCTTTATCTGATTTATTTTTTCAAAATATTTACTGTGTGTCCTAATTGTCTTGGCTATGCCCATTAGCCATTGGCCATATTGATAGAGCTGGCAGAGTCTAATTATGCCTCTCAAATGGCTGCATGAGTGAAGAGTAGAAATACTTTGAAATAGCGTTGAAGAATACATTTTCAACATTTGTTTAGTTTGCTTTTTGGCTGCCTTTTTTAGGATGCAAATACTATAGCATCATTGATTTTTAAAGCCCTGTAGGCTCTTAAAGTCTGAGGCAGTTTTTACTAATAATTGGGCTGTTTCAGCTTGAGGCAATCTGATTGTCCTAGCAAATCCTTTGAAATGATGTAAGCAGAAACCACTTCATGGAGCACCCCATTATAAATGGCAACAATTTTTCCTGTTGGTCACAGGTAAAAAGTTTAAGAACTTTAAAATGGAGTGTGGTTATAACACTAACCGTATATTCGAAATGCTGGCTGTTCTATAAATATTGATTTTCTTTTTGGGGGAGGTGGATTTCTAACTGTGTATCAATTGACATGGTGAGTAGAAGCAGCTGTTCTTGTATAATCTCCAGTTGTTCTTCCTTTTCTTAATGGGCAGCTTGTGCTCTTGTTTTGAGCAGAAAAAACAAATAGAA